ACTCTTTCTCACACAGACACACAACAACCCACCATGACAACGTTTCGGTGAACCAGGTGGCATTTGCTCCATTTCATTTTTTGACTGATGTGGCTGAAATTTCACAGAGTTTGGTGAGAAATTACAATTTTGTAATTGTGGTCTCTATAATATTAAAGGTTCACACATACACAGCCAAGCACTTGTACACATGTAACCGCAGTCTTTTTTAGATTTTTGTATAAAAATGTGGCCTGGGATTGTTGCTGGAAGCTGCCTCTTGTTCTGGGTTTTGGGACTTAATCATTGCATTGTGATTAAGAGACAAATGTATAATATGGTCTTAAATGTTAGTTTATTAGTGTTGAAAACATGACACTTTATATAATGTTGATTTGGCATATATACCATATAAACTATGACTCCTGTAAAAATGTGAAGTAGATTTTTTGACCTCACCACACGGAAACATTTCCATACTGTAAGGGGTTGAATGAAGGTAACCGCTGTGCATATAGATGCAGCGGCCAGTTACTGCAACAGCTTTGCTACATTATTTTATTTAAAAAAAATAATTATTTTTGGCCTTTTGCTGAAACATCATTGAATGATGTTTGACTGGATTTAATTACAAAGGGCTAATCCAAAATTGTTCAAATCAACTGGATCCAGAGATTTTGACTATGGGAATGGCTGTGCACAGATATGCTGTCAACAGAGCATAACATCACAAAAGTCTTGTTGTTCAAAGTAAAGAATAAATAACGTCCAACTTACAAAAACAGATACTTTTGGCGCAGTTTTTGTTTTTCTGTGAATATCCGACTAATGAAAAGAAAGCCAACTAATATTCTTCTCGTCGACCCAGCAGCCCAATTAACATGAATTTCATTTTTCAAATATCACTGCTGATACCAGTATATTGCGAAACACCTACTGAGATATTATCCAGACCAGATGTGAACCTTGAATGCAAGCTTCCTCTGAGATGTGATCTGCATAGCACAGGCTAGCTGATGCTGCTGTTTTATCAATCTACTAATTGGAGCTCCTTTGTTTGTACATCTGGCAGAGTTGTGGTTAGCTGTATATGCTGGCTGAATGGGTTACTTGTGCATTCCTGACAGTCCAGAGCCATGCAGCTGTCCTGTTTGTCCTCCAGCAGACATAGTATGTGGATCCTGTATCCTGTTGCCTGATTTTTACTGTTTAGCTGCTTCTATGTAGGTTTGTAGGTTATCCCTGAGCAGACAGGCACCACCCTGCCAGACCGTATCTAACACACATAGAGAGACACACACGCATGTGGTGCATACCTGGGATATAAGCATTATTTATTTTTACATTTTTAAAAAATTTCAATTAATTATTTGCAGGCTGTCCCAGCTGTAACCAAACCTCTGACAAAATGTCTTTATTTACTACAAACATTCTTTGTCTTAGAGCATTGATTTTCTTTTTCAATGTTTAATAAAAAGCCACTGTTCTTTGGGAACAGAATCACAAAAATGCTTTTCTTGCCAGGAGCAAGCAACAGTGAACTGTACAGAAATGTTTCTTCATTATATTGATAAATGACATAGTATGGGGGGCATTATTTCTCCTAAAAACACATTTGTAAATGCAAAATAGTTGTATATGAACATAATTTTTTTGATTTAACACGAATAGACTGCACACACACGCAAACACACATTTCCCTAGGATTCTGTCTTAATATTTGACAATGACAGCATGGACTTTTTGAATGATAATGTTTTGATTTGATTTGATTTGATTTAAGGCTCCAGACTTAATTGAAATATTATCGAAATTGTAATTAACCAATTTTTTTTTAATTAAAGGTAAAATGTGGGTTTTATGATTTCCAGCCTGCACACTGAATTGAGGAATATATTAATTCAAACAAGGTTTCTTTGCTATATAAAGCAAGTTAATAAACCGTAATTATCTTTATCCTTGTTGATAATCCCAAATGAAACAATGAAGAGATTTGATTGACATCCTGTGATGTCATCTTCTTGATTCCGTTAATTTGTCTTCATCTGTCGGTTTTCCAGTCAACATGACCCCAGTGGACCAGCTGGACCAGTAGTGAACTTGATCCAACTGGAAGAGCTTACACCAATACACTCCTATCTGCAGTAAGTAAGCTATAAACAGAATTTACCAGAATCAATATATATATTATTCAAACCTAACATGGCAAAAAAAAAAAAAACAATAGCAAGGCTGTTCCAGAAATAGGAATTTGCTAGCATAAAAATCTGGCCACTACAAAACACTATCTGTTAGCACAAAAAGAAATAAAGACACAATGAAAGAAAGAAAGAAAGAAAATTGGTAATCACTATGGTAACAAGTCAACTGTCAGCTGGTCAGCAGTAGTATTCAGTAAATACTGTACACAGGCCTGTTAGTTGCTGTTGATGATACTGCATATTTCTTTATACAGGACTGCTTGTATCTGTTTTCAGCTTTGTCTTGTTCTGAAGGATTTGTATCCCTCTCTGTTTTATTATCATTACCTACCAGGATTCACAAGTGAATTCCACTTCTGACAGAACATTAATTACACAATAAACCCAAGACAATAAAATTTTGCCCATTTTGGTTTTTGCTTAACATCCTTAGTTTTCCTTAGTTTTGGGTGTGATAAGACAGCAGTGCAACCTCAAGCACCTCTGGCTTTTATAATTACTACACACAGAGTAAAAAAGAGGACACTGAGGAAATGAGAGGAAAGGTGAAGGAAAGTGCAGTCATTTGCACAAGTGTTAAGAATCCCATCATTGCTCAGTACTCTAGATTATATGGGGATCCCTGAGGTTGTTGTTCCTGTTGAACCCATGTAAGACCTGTACCAGCTGTAAACTGGCATCAATATGTCCCTATTTTAGTTTGATATTTCACTTTCCTGTCCTGTGCACGGGTAATTTTATTGGTCTAATTTACTAACTTTATTTTATGTATTTAACTTTTGATTCTTTACATTTGGTGTGAAATACAACGGGGTGTTATCTATTTGCCAGGACTAAAGCAGTGGCTGTCAGAAAAGACTAAATTTAACTTTTCCCTCAGGTAAAAAAACCCCCCATATAAAACAAAGTGAAAACATACCAAAAACACGGTAAATGCATGTATGACTCATTCTTTTCATATTCAATATAGAATCAATAGAATTTACTTATTTATTTATAAATCCAACATAAAAAACAAATAATGGCTTATTTTCCAATTTTATACTTAGTCAAAAATAGGAAAAAAAAAATAGAGCTGGACTAAAATAGATTTTTGATATTCAATTGGTCTGATTTGTTTGACCAGAAAGTTGTTGAGTTGTCTTGCACTAAACTTGCATGCAGTAAATACACATGGGTGCTGACAGTCCCTGATTTAATGTATGAATATGAGCTTGTGCAAAGTCATTTATAAAATAGGAAAAAAGGTGAAATTTGCAGCTCAAAGTCTAACTTACTGTATGTATTTACTCTGACAGGAATGGGAACACTAAGAAACACACTAAGGTTTTTTTCAGTATCAAATTAATTCAGTGATAGTTGTCAGTACATCCAGTGTTACACATTCCGGAAAACCTGGAAAACAGTTATGGAAAATAAATGGTAAATGAGAGAAAAAGTAAAATGTCCTAAAAGTTATTTTACCATTCTCTTATTTATCTATCAGTGCTCCCTAAAATGGATAACATTGCCATCTGAAAGGGCTAAGATATCATATTATTGTTCAAATGGTTGGTCTGTCTTTGGACTGCTACACAAAACACTGGTTTAAAATTGACCCAGTATGGGGAAGAATGCAGATGAAGTCAGATTAAGAAAAAAAACAAAAAAAAAACATGTTCAGTGGTGACAGGCAGTGTAATAGTTTTTTTGTTTGTTTCTGCACAGCTATTCTTCCTGGCATCCACACAGTTTACATGGTGAAAATATTATACAAATATACACACTCACATTACTCATCACAATACACTGACACAACACATGGATTCAATTTAAAATTTTATTTGTATAGCGCCAATTCATAACAAAAGTTATGTCAGGACACATTTCAGATACAGCAGGTCTAGACTGTATTTCTTATAAAATTATTTACAGCAACCCAACAGTTCCCACCATAATACTGTAGATAAAACAATTGATACACTCTATAGACAAACACACAAAATAAAAACAAGAACAAAAACAATAAAAAGACCGGCTCCGACTGAATGTATCATAAACTAACAAAGAATATCTTCATGATCTAATTATCAACATTTCACCAGATTGCCCATGAAACCCTCTCACACCAAAGAATATTTATTAATTGACTTATTGAAAAACCATATATATTATGTATCAATATTGTGATTGGAAAGTGGAATTCCACCTATATCATTGCTCCAGTATATTACTGTACGCTGACCTGATGGATGGATTTTGGTAAAGTAAAACAACTTCCAGCAGCATGCCTTGTAAAATAAGTGTGTGTATCTGTATTAAAGGATAGTCCTTTGTAAAATATAAATGGAGTCTTTGTTGTTATGACATTCCTAATGAAAACCATCAGTGAACACATTCATCATTTTTTTTACTTCAAACCAAGAGAGACATTCATGCATTCT